ATTCTTTTTATTTCTATATAGATGTTCTGAATTTAATGCGTTAACATAAATCATTCTTAATTATTACCAATCAATCTTGTGAATTAAATTTATACAATACTCCCTCTGTTTTTAAAAATTGATGTTTTAGACTTTTCACATATATTAAGAAAACTCATTAAATTTTGATTGTAAATGCATTGTTTTTATGAATAAAATTTTTCCATAGCTTTTAGCCAATATAAATTCAATAAACACCATTAATTTTTTTGAAACTTACAATTTTTCATTAAATCATACATTGAAAAGGTAAAAATCAATCTTTTTGAAATTTGATTTTTTTCCAGAACATCAATCATTTAGGAACGGAGGGAGTATATGTTACGTGATGTTGTAATCATCATTAATTGGTAATCATTAATGTGGTAAATGTGGACATATTTTTCATTCAACGCAAGTTGTGAGAATTAAATAATAAACAAGTAATAATATAATTGTTAAATGATGATAATAATAACTATACAAATGACCTTATTATATATTGAGACCTGAAAAAAATAATCTAATAAAAATATAACTAAAAAAACAATAACGAATACATTGACTAAATAATAACATGTCATTAGAACAAAAATTAGATAATTTCATCTCTTCTAGCAGATTATTACTAAAACATGAGTGTTATTACAATGAAATTATTTTAAAAATTGTCATGAGCACAAGAAAAGACTCAATATGTTTTTATTTGAAATAAATAATAATGAATGACGCGGATAGTGACAAAAGACTAAATATGTTGTTCCTGGAAACTATTCACAAATAAATATTAAAAAAAAAAATTCGAGATCACTCGCCCTTGATTTTTTGTGTGGGAATGTTTTTTGTTGACAGAGTGTTGATCCTCCAAGGTTACTGTCATGATCTTCTTGGTTTTTTCTTTTGGACAAATGAGTTCTTGAAAAATCACCACAAGGAAATATCACCTAAGGACTGCAACATCATGATCTGCAAGAGAAATAGTTCATCTCATTAGTATGCTATTGTAACTATAAAATCTAAGCAATTATAAAGTGTAATACCGATTTAGAAGGCAAAGCAGAAAATATTAATTTTTTATAATAAATATTTAAACTGAATAAAGAAAGTTATTAGATCTACAATATCATAAGCTGATTTGAATTAAATATTAGTTTTCTTGTGCAAG